AGAACATGTAACATGGCATGATAAAAAAAATCATGATTAAATTGCCTACCATTTTGGCAAATGTTTTGTGTATGACCGACCGAAGGAAGATTGCGCTTGTCCCACGCAAGCCTCACGATCAATCGTGATCATGCGGCCAGCAACAACGCGCACCCCTTCATTATCAGCATTGCACATTTCTTTTTTCTCCTCGAGCGCAGCTCAGCTTCCCCTGTCCCGGCAGCATCGATCCCGTTCCGCACCACCTGCATCGCGGCCGCGACCCTCACACCCCCTTCCCTAGGTCTTTCTCCACCCATTCCTTCCTTTCTCACCGATGGCCAACGCTCGGCCCTGCAGCCCTGATCCCTGACGACCATCTCTCATCGGAGATGGGACACAACATGGGGAGTGTTGCGTGGATGGCGATGCTAGAACCAAAATCTGGTTTTGCTGCAACTGGCCAGACAAGAGCTACCACAGGCGGCAGCTTTGGCCATTTTCCTGCAACCGGCCAGACCAACAGGCGCAACCGGTGACACCGACAGCTACCATAGGCGGCAGCTTTGGCCATTTTCCTGCAACAGGTCAGTCCAGTGCTGCAACTGGCGCCGACGGTAGCTATCACCAGGCGGCGACGTTGGTGTTTTGCACTTTTGTTGCAACCGACCAGTTTTAATGCTAGAATCGGCTAAACCAGAGCTGCAACCGGCAGCTAGAACCAACGACAACCATGTTGCGACGCTGCCGTCGACGTTTGTTGCTGCAACCACAATCGTGGATGCTGGAACCAGCAAATCTGGCCGTTGCTATCGGCGGCGTTGATTTTTTTTTTTTTTTTGCTAGATCTGTGATGGGTGGTGTTTTGCTATGACCGGTGACGGGATTTTTTCTATAACCAACGACTTATTCTGCATGCTAAGTTTCTGCATGTAGTGAATCATGTGAAACGTCAACCAGTCATGCACATGCTTGGCAGGGTCGAGGGAAAAGCAAACACCCGCATCCAACAGGGGGCCTTGGAAGTATGTCTACAACTCGCTTGCTAAGTGGCCTAATAACCCAGGATGGGCGAAGTATATGAAGAAGACTGTAATTTATATTAGTACCTTTTTCGTTGCAGTCAATGAATTGCTACAATGGGCGGGACAACGAAAAAAGTTGCCTTGAGATCCAAAAACTTAAAATGGCATAAATTTAGGGCGTGATCGGCAACTGCCCAGCTCCTGGCTTCTGATCCATGATTTTTATCAAGAAGCTGGAAGCAAGATTAAGGAGCCGGATTTGAGGATTTCTTGGCGCTAACCAAACATGCCCTTAGGAGCTTCTTGCCCCTATCAACTCGCTTATGTTTGCATACGATCTCATAGTGTATGGATCAACACCGACAATAATGGTCGGACTATTGCTTTGGTGATCACTCATTATGCACTTAATTGGGACAACCCCTTAATTGGGATAAATATATCATCGTATTCAGTAAAATGTATTGGCCTCACATCTTCAGCTAGCATGTCATTTTCGATGATCTTGGCACGGATTTCTTTCCTACTTATAAAGGTTGGAGTTGATGGTGAGTTCACATGCGGAACCAACAACCTTCACCAATAAACAAACACATCTCTACCCACATTGAGAATAGCAACCTTCCAAGAACATAGATAAACAAATGTATTGCTACTCACATGTGGGACCTAACATAAATAAATAACTACACTACTACTTTCATGCGAGACCAACACTTATAAATGGCACAAATAACAAATGCAAAAATGTGACTCCAACTCAATATAATGCTATTGTTTTCCTTTTTTTTCAACCAAGTTATTTCAGTTTTGTATCATAGAACAAGAGAATGAACAAATTGTAATTCAAAAATGAAACAGACCTTGTCCTCCTACCTGATCCACGCCCTTGTGGGTCAACTTACCAATGTCTCATATGTTTCAACATTCAAAATGTTGTGTCTGTAAGGACTATGGTCACTTCAGATTCTCCAATGCCTGACGTGTGATCTTTTGTTGTATTTTTGTTCTTTTCAAAATAGCGAACCACACGCAAAGGCCATGTGGCGCCAACATATTTTGACGATTTCCTAAGCCAGTGACCTAACTCCTTGTATTATAGTTTCGTAGCAACACATGAGCATTGTGCTAGTATAGATATAATACAACTTGGTCATCCTGATTTCTTACTTGCGAAAAGAGATATGTCCTTCTCCTATTTAAGTTTACAAGTTCAGAGCTAAATTAAACAGGATACAAAGCAAACATGCTTTCACACGCTGGAAGTTTAACTTTAGTCAAATGTGTGTTTGCACCTATCCCTATTTACTTACTACTCCCTCCGTAAGTGATCTAAAAGTCTTATATTAGTTTACAGAGGGAGTACATGTCTTGTTTCTTGTTAAATACAAGGTTTGTCTACGAACTCACTAAATACCGTTAGAAATATGTTGGAATGGTTTTCAAAATAAAAATTCTTTGAAACCTCTTTGTCTCAAGTACTAGGATAAATATGCAAACATGTCTAGTAAGGTGGTTTAGGCATTCCCATGTCTGCCTAGCAAATAATTAAACAACCAAATGCCTTTTTGGCGGTTGTTGTCAACTCTAGACAATTCCCATATTCTTACCTCTGTTTGGGAAGCTAATCCCTTCATCATAAAAATTGCCTTTTGGTCTTCTGTTTTAAAAGTTTTGCTTTTCATGCTTGAATCGCGCAAAACAACAACTAAGCATTTCAGCGCCAAACAAATTAGGATAGGCTAGAGTTGAAACCACCCATGGCCACTATTAATTCTCCTCCCACTCCCATGTCAAGTTTGGTTTACCCCGGCCTTCCTAGACATTATCATCATGCTTATCCTTCTGTTATGCACCAGTGCTTCTGGAGGCATGTGTTGTATATGTCCAAACCACCTCAAACAATGTTGTACAAGCTTCTCTTTAATTGGTGTTACTCCAGCTCTATCATGTTTCGAACCTGATCCTTTATTGTGTGGCCGCATATCCATCTCAACGTGTGCGTCTTTGATACACTTAATTGTTGGACATGTTGACTTTTAGTTGGCCAACATTATGTGTCAGACAACGTCGTAGGTCGAGTCACCTTCCTATAGAACCTGTTGTTACCTTTGTATGTGGCACTCTCTTGTCATAAGAGGATGCTAGCTTGGCGCCGCTTCATCCATCCAGCTTTTGATCCGATGGCCCACATCTTCATAGAAGGTATGAAGATAATAGATTCATTGGGATTCTACCAAGGTTGAAAAAAGCGGTAGGCGTAAGCGGGGCGGTTGGCCTTTGCCTAGTGCCTAGGCGGTGCCTAAGCACCCTAGGCGCGGCATAGGCGGTAATATAGTTTTTACTCGAAGTGTATTTGTGACTTTTATATGGATGTTGATATTAATTTAGGGCATATGAATAAGGTAATTACTGGCTACTCCCACTGGAATATAACCTGCTTGGCATATATGTGCAGTATGTGGCATGATTTCTTGCTTGGGTAGGAAATTCCTTGTGCTTCCCATGCCTAGACCTCCATTTATGCCCTAGGCGAGGCATTTGGCCATTGCCTAGCGCCTAGACGTGCCTAAGCGCCTCCTAGACACTGCCTTTTCCAACAGAGGATTCTACCAATCATCAATGCTCAAACCACAGGCCATAGCCCTCAAGCGAGGACTGAGATGGCTTCGAGCATCGGAGTTCAGTACCTCATGGTGCAGTTGGATTGCACGAAGCTTGTGCATCGTTGAATAGGGGGGCTACTTTTTCCCCTACCGTGGTTGCTCCTATCATTGGCGATGGTTAGGTAGCACTGTGGACTAGTTTGGTTGATGACCTGGGCGCTTCACGCCTGGCCTGGGCGCTCCCTGGACCATGCCTGGTGTTTGTTTGGATAGTGTCCTGAAAACTACTCCTAGAATGCTTGCCTGGCCTGGGAGTCCATGCACTGGCTGCCTGGTCCATGTTAAAAAAATAAAAATAAAAAAAACAATTTTGGCCCAGGCACGTAATTAGCCTGACCCAGGCGTCATGTTTCTTTCGCCTGGCCAGCTGCCTGGCACTATAAAGAGTCATGTGCAGTATGGTCCATCGTTTAAAATTTCTTTAATCACTAAATGGCAAAAACGCCACCCAGGGATGGAACCAAACATACATGCCCAGGTTTGCCTGGCCAGGCAAAAAAGGTCCACCACCCCAGGCTCCAGGCAGCACTTTCCTCCAGGCACAATGTCGAGGACTCGATCCAAACTAGCCCTGTATGCGTGAGACAAATAGTGTCGCCCCACAAGCTAGCAAGCATGGCTAGAGTTTGTCCTCCGTCTCTATGGATGGAGAGAACGCACCTCAGTCGACCATTCGATAGATTGTGGATGATGCATCTCTGTTTGAGTTGGAATAAAACTAGTCATGATGCCACCTAGAAAAAGCAAGTTTGACTCTGCTAGGTTTATCTTTTGCTTCAAGCCACACCAAGTAAACATTTCTGGCAATTTTGCTAACAACTGTGCTCACGTCGACAAAGTTAGCATCTCCCAAACAAACAGGCTTTAAGCCATGCACCCCGTTTCCACCCTATCCAAATCGAGTCTGAGACCAGTTAAGAAAACTTGTTTGAGACATTTATTTTGGGACGGAAAGAGTATATATTTGCGTGATTCTTTCTGTAGCCAGCAGCCCTAGAGAACCGAATAAACAAGCCAATCTCGCAGCAGCAGTTACTAGCCCTTAGCGCAATCAAACTCGTAACCGAAAGCACCATGTCGCCACCGTAATCTATCTTATCCCGGCTAATCCGCGGAGATAAGCCCCATTTTCTCCCTCACCCCCGCCGATCGGTCGACAGGGTCCCGTAAGATAAGATGCTTATCCTGATGAGCCAGCGTAGTTTATCCACGTCCCTTTCACATGCCCCGATACATAATTGCTTGCTCCCGGCAACCAACACATGTTTCCGTCTCTTGCTCCCTCTGAAAACAAGTGTTTCCACATGCGCAAACGCTCCAGACAGTAGGAATGCCCAGTACTTCATTTGGTGATAAGACCGACACTCTCTGTACGGCAAGGATAGGCTTGGTTTTACTTTCGGCGCCAGTCGACGGAAGCCTATCTGAAGCGAGCAAGACGCCCGTCTGCCCACGGCAATGGTTCTTTTTTTTTTCCTCCACCCCTCGCGTCTGCATATATAGGGGGTCCTTCCCTTTGCCGTCCAAGCTCCCAACATCCCAAGAGATAACCATTGCTCCTGCCTCTTGTTCAGCCCTGTGATGGATGAAGCTTGCAACGAGGCTCTGTGCCGTGAGGCCGCCTGCGTTTGGCAAGGAGAAGGAGAAGATCACCCTGACGCTGCTTCTTGCACCTCGCCCTCGGGAACGTCCAGCGGGTCGTCGTCGTGCTCATTGGGGTTGAATCTGGGTGATGGGTCGACTTACTCCCCACCTGATGATTATTCTTCGGAGTTGTCTTCAGCGTCGTCGAGCACCTTGCATCTGGACTCCGAGGCAGAGGGGCCTCTCTACGAGCTGTCTTCGCTGCTAGCCCAGCTTCCTGCCAGGTACATGCCATGCACCTTGATAACGTGGAATTTGGCCGTCTATGTTTCCCAACCTGTATGAGAAACACCAAAACTTTGTCACCCTTTCCAACAACATGCATGCTAACAGGTCTTCGAATTTAAAATGACATGCTCCTAAGTGATAGCTTCTGAGGTTCCACTTTGCACAGGACAAGTATTTAATGCATTGGTTATGAATATTTCCCTAAAATACATACTGAATAACCAGAGAACACAATGTCACGGTTCTTTCCATATAACTTCTATAGAATCCACTTGAAATTGCAAATTATTCAAAAAAGGAGTGCGATCTCTAACAAATAATTTAATTTCCACAGGAGAGGGTTGTCCAAGTACTACCCAGGGAAGTCCCAATCATTCACATGGATATCTAATGCTACATGTCTTCAAGACCTTGGAAAGGAAGTTACCTACAGCAAGAGGATGAAGACATGCAAGAGCTACGCAGCAGGATTAGGCATGAACCAGCGGTCAAATCACTTACCGAGGACATGCAACAAGATGATAGCCAAGAGGCCCTCAAAAAGTTCATTTGCTTGTCAAATGTCCAGAGCAAGCAGCACCAACCTCTTGTACAGGAGTGCCAATTTACCTGCACACCAGAACAAGGAAGATGTACAAATGCATATGAACTCTTAACTAGCTACAACTATAATGCCAGGACTCCACTTCCCATGAACATACAGTACTTACTGTACACTTTCACATGGAAATTCAAACTAATTTCTCATTCTGAGATCAGCCTGATTTCTCTTATGTCTGATTTTATTTTAGTCCACATGAAAGTTAACTGTAAAAATGAATAAAGTGACACCTGATTTCTCTTATGTCTGATTCAAATGCATATGAACTCTTAACTAGCTACAACTATAATGCCAGAACTCCACTTCCCATGAACATACAGTACTTACTGTACACTTTCACATGGAAATTCAAACTAATTTCTCATTCTGAGATCAGCCTGATTTCTCTTATGTCTGATTTTATTTTAGTCCATATGAAAGTTAACTGTAAAAATGAATAAAGTGACACCTGATTTCTCTTATGTCCGATTCAAATGCATATGAACTCTTAACTAGCTACAACTATAATGCCAGAACTCCACTTCCCATGAACATACAGTACTTACTGTACACTTTCACATGGAAATTCAAACTAATTTCTCATTCTGAGATCAGCCTGATTTCTCTTATGTCTGATTTTATTTTAGTCCATATGAAAGTTAACTGTAAAAATGAATAAAGTGACACCTGATTTCTCTTGTCTGATTCAAATGCATATGAACTCTTAACTAGCTACAACTATAATGCCAGGACTCCACTTCCCATGAACATACAATACTTACTGTACACTTTCACATGGAAATTCAAACTAATTTCTCATTCTGAGATCAGCCTGATTTCTCTTATGTCTGATTTTATTTTAGTCCATATGAAAGTTAACTGTAAAAATGAATAAAGTGACACTTGGTCCAGTCACAATCGGAAAAACTCAATAGACACAGCTCCTTGTGTTAAACTTGCCCATGATGGTACACCATCTATTCTCTTCTTATACACACGACGCCACAAGTTAGAGGAACCATTTATTAAGGAACAATAAAAAATGTTCCTGAAAGCAACTGTACAAGTATTCTGTGGAAAATCAGTATTGCCATGAATGATTACGATGACATGTTCACCAGAGTCAAGGGCCACAACATTCGCAAAAAAAGGGAGTCAAGGGCCACAAGAATATTTCTATTAGGTTATCACAAGTCGAAACATGTGATTTCACTTGGTGTTTGTCTAAACAAGCTCGTCTGGTTTTCTCTTCTCGTCACCTCCATGAAGTACATCTGTTAACAACAAGAGAAAGGCTCTCATAAAAACCAATGAAACTACTACAAGAGCATGGTTTTAAACTTCAAAACAAAATTACCTGAAGGAGATCAAATTTGCCACTCCAACACCCACATCCCTTTTCCAACATGCACAATGCACAAACCCTTTTGGTAGCCAGCCCTAAAGGATAGTATCACAAAGTTGCGACTCTCCATAGTTCCCAGACCACAATACCTTGCCTTTTGTACATCCCATATATGACATTTCCTAGAATATCTGAAGCTCTCAATCAGCACTCTCTTGCTAAAGAATGCTTCATCATGTCAGTTGGATCACTTGTTGCTTAGCCATCTGGTATAGTCTCCGACCGCCTCAAGATCAGACTGCATAAGCAGACATATAATGCTTGTAAATACATTCTAGTGGTGGTGATGCTTTCTAAGGGAGCACAATGGAAAGATGAAATAAGGTACAAAATCGCAGCAGGGGATTCCCCTACTACATTCCTTTAAAAACAAAGAAGATGAAATAAGGTACAAAAGGAACAGTAAAAATGGAGTTCATTGACGGGAACAAATTCATACATCTTCAGTTAATCCGAGATGATCAAGTAGAGCCCTTATACCACCACCTTTTGAAGCATTAAGGGGAACAATCTCAATTGCATTTGGCTGCTCTTTGATAACACATGCTTTCCCTTCTGTTAGTTCCGACCAATGCTGTGTGAGGACAGAAAAATCTTCGTTCTTGTTGCCAAGGAAAAGCAACTTCTGCAAATGCAAGTAAACCATGTAAGTTCACTCTAAACAAAACTGATCCAAAGATAGGAAAACTCATCATCCTTATAAATGGCACATCCACTTTGCATTTGCCATAGTTACAATAACAAACCTGAATCGATGAATATTCCAAGAGGTCCTCAACTGAAGGCATCACTTTTACCTATGACAAAACCTCAATGTTGGCTCAACTGCTTAATATAGTTGGAAAGGAAGAAAGAGAAGTTTATCTAGCAAAAACCTAAATATTGTACCTTGGTCTCATGGTGCACAGTGTGCAACAAGTTGACAGAAGGATGTTCAAACAAGGTCAAACATTGTTCCTCACAGTATGCAACAAGAGGAATTTTATGCTTCAAGGAGTACAAACATGCCTGCAAATGGAACAAAAGAAATTTAAATATAATACCTGACGATCTTATACATCGCTAAAAGGGGCACACAACCTTAACAAGTCAAAACTGATATGAAAATGATTCAAGCTCAATGATAGCACATTTCATGCCTAACATCCACATTCACGATAAAGAACTGGCAAGACACGAAATGCCCCGCAAATCCTCCTAATAAAAAGAACAGTAGGTAATATTAAAAGTTCGATGGAAGACGAGCAGGCGCAGCACTAAATTTCTGACAGAAGTACGGCAGAAAGTAATCAGCTGACATACTGTAAAAGTGTAAATCACTACCTCCTTGCATATATCCACATCCAAGTTTGCTCTATAAATAAGTTGGCCATGCTCCCCATATACAAGCGAACCCTGCAGCGAACAGAGCAAAATATAACTTTATAAGGGTAAATGTCGATTGAAAAAAAAAACATATTCTTACTATTGCTCAAAGCCTCAAACAAGTATAAAGAATGATAATGACGAGGGCTCCACACTTACTTCCTTCTATCATATCCCCGTCGATTGAAAAATAAACATATTCTTACTATTGTTGCAATCTAAATTAGGATGCCTGATTCAGTAGAGCAATTGGACACAAATTTTTACTTCAAAATGTCCAGATGTGTCTAATTCAACAAAAAGGGATATGAGTGCCAAAAGAACACTTGCACAAAGCCATGAAGCTTTGATAACCAAACTTCCAAATTCTACAACTATTCAAGTAAGAATGGAGGATGTACCTGTAGAAATACACCAGCTGAATTCTCCGATATAAAATCACCTCTTCCTTCCATATTAAGAAGCTTGAAGGTTGCTATGGTGGAAGCACGGGTCTAATTAAAAGGGATGAAAATCAAGAAAATATTAGAAACATGCAATTATACTAAAAATGCAGCCATCTTATATAGAATATATATGTGCTTTGCTTTGACATTCCTTAGGAAACTTCATAGTGTACTTAAGATTAATATCACAAATAGTCAGCTGCAACTGATCACAAGTTGAAATCATGTTGCTTATTATTCGAATTCCATCTGAAATTAAACTGAACTAAGATGAGAAGCTACATAGAAGCACTAACTTTCATCAAGACTACTTCCACGTACTTTATGCTGTGGGAAAGTTACCCATATCATTGATAATCGGTAATATTGTTAAGGAAAGACTGAGAAGTAGCCTTAACCTCAAGATCAGGGCCATTCACATTGGACGACCGGATATCCTTGCATTCATGACGAATGCTTAAGACTAAAACCCACCTTGCCAGTAAGCATGATAACAGTTACTCCCCGTGATACTGCCTCTCTCAAAGATTCTATTGACTCTGAACGCAGGTGTCCTTCATAATCCACAACAGTACCTTAATAATTTTTGCAAAGAAGTTACTTGCTAGAAGTTGGTAAGATCCAGCATAAATAGTATACTTCTTGATGCTTCATCACCTCACCATCTATATCACATATTATATGGGTCAGTTTCGGCTGATGACCCTCCTGTAAACTCCTTTTCTCTATATCTCTATTGGCCTCTACATATTAAAAGTTCAGAGGTACTCCAGTGAGAAGAAACAAATGGCAACCCTTCACATAAAGAAAAACACACAACAATAGTGTGCAAGGGCGACCTACCATCAGAATTTTCTGAATGACCCATATCAGTACTGAAATGATACGCACTCCTAATGAGTCCTTTTCCTATCCATTCAAGAGTATTTAATATTTTTTCTTCTTCCTGCTCCATCTCTTCTTCAGCCTCCTTGCTGAGTTCATGATCAAAGCCCAATAAATGCAACAATCCATGAACCTGATAAAGATAAATTGGTTAACACAGAATAGGCTCGCAATCAGCAAAGCTATTCCAACACTGAACAATCGCACGGAGGTTCTCTTCATAAGATACACCAGAAGTAGCATCGAAGTAATTATTTGTTCACAGAAGGTAGTCAAGCGATCAAGCCAATAGGCAAAACTTGAAGCTTTATCTTGGTATGCAAATTTCAACTTTCAAGCATAGCACTAATTCAAAATAAATCTCATGAAGTAAATACACACCTAGGGCGTGCTTCGTTTGCAACCCCAATTGCCCAAGCCAACGTTTGGGTAAGGCCACCTCTTTGGCTAGTGACTGGATTGAGGCCAATCCATTGGTGTGCACTCTGATGTTGCCTACCATTTGCCAACTAGCTCATACCCAAAGTTGATTTGCAAATTTTGGCATTGCAATTGACTGCCAACCAATTAGGCTATTACTGGCAAGTTTCAACATTGCCAAACATTGGCTTGCCCAAACATTGTCACTGGGGCTGCAAACCAAGCACACCTCCATCTTGCTGTTACCTGGTGTGTTGTCAATATTGATCCAATTCTAAGTTTCAAAAAAGATATTGATCCAATTTCCTTCATGTTTAATTTTGCTATTGTGACCGTTCAAACTATAATATGAGCTCAAAACCACCATTATCAGGCATCACTACTGCTACGGTCAATAATAGATCAGACGAAACCTACACAACTACAAAACAGAAGCACACGGGCACCCCAATAAGGATAACAAATGTGGTGCCAGAAATAAGTCAAGAAAGACTAACCATGAGAATTCTTATCTCATCAAGAAGTGTATGGCCTCTTTCTTCTGCTTGCCGTCGGGCTGTCTCAACAGAAATTACCAAGTCACCTAGTTGCAGCTGTTGAACCAAAAGCAACAAGTAAATAATAAGATCGGACAGAACCATCTGTAACAAATAAACTAGTTCAACATCAACAGAAACATCTGTAAACGTCTTACAACGGGAATTTGGAGCCCCGGGATATGCTGCGACATTGACAGAACATCCGTCGCGCGGTCTTCACCCCTCCATTCCTTGTTCAGCTTCCTGATAAAATCATCATCACAAAGCAGCAGAGATACCTCAACGCTGTCGTACTCATCCACATTGCTTATGCAGGGGTCTCTGGTCTTGTACTCCGAGTTCCCCAAATTGTGGAATGCCAGCTTCATTGCCTTCCCAACATCCGTTCGAAGTGTTTCTGCAATACTCTGAGAAGCCATTCGTAATTAGTGACACAAGCTAACAATTCAACAAGTCCAAGGAGCGGAAATAGCGAGCGGAGGCTATTATCACCAGGACGAGGGGGTCGTCGGGGAGGGCTTCTTCGATGCCAATCTGCACGCTGAGCTCGGCGGGGCCCTTCAACCTGGCTCTCCTCCGCCTCGGAAACATCGACGGCAACGAGCCGCGCCGCCGTCGTCTGGATATGGGTGACGCGTAGTGCCGCGAGGCGGCGGCGAGGAAAGGGGGCGGGCTGCGACCATGGGGGTGAGGACGCGGCGGCGCCGGCGGCTGCGAGTGGAGCGGGAGAGTCAGGCGCGCTGAAAATGGGGCCGGAGAAGGGCGGAGGAGGTGGTTGGAGGCGAGCGCGCGGGAGAGAAGGCGGTGGAGGCGCGCCATTGAGAGGAAGAGGAGGAGGAGGCTGCGCGCGTGTGCAAAGTCGGAGAGGAGGAAGATAGGGTTAAACCATTCCATCTTTTTTCTTGAAGCCACTGTACCATTTAGCGGGGCCGCGGCCCAGAATTGCGCCTCGCTCTAGGCGGGCTCGCTAGCTCTCTAGTTCTCTGATCGGCTGGGTTTTTTTCCCTGCTCATTCCTCTCTTATTGGCTGATGAAAAAACCGTTTTTTTAATTTTGAAAAATTTGATGACATCAAAAAGTGTTCAGGTGATTTCTAAGAATTGTTCGGGAATTTAAAAAAGGTTCAAATTTTTAAAATATTTAAAAATTTGATTGTTTTTGGAGATTTAGAAATGATAACGAATTTGAACGTGCATTTAGAAAGGCTTGTGAATACAAAAAGACAAATTTAAATAAATTTCATGAGTTTGAAAAATGTTTCTGAATTTGAGAGAGTTTTTGTGAATTTTAAAAAAGTTCATGAATTAGAAAAAAATAGTGAATAAGAAAACAGTTCAGGATTTTTTTTTAAAAAGTTCATGAATTTGGAAAAAGTCCACAAATATTAAAAATGTTCACGGAAATGAAAATGGTTCAAAAAATTTGAAACTAAAATTTAAAAATGAACCGAAACAAAAACCGAGTATAAGATTCAGCAGAAAGAAACAGAAAAAGAAAAGCCAGACTAGAAGCATCTAAAATCTTCCCAAAAACGAAATGGCCCAATTGTTGCCCTGCCGGGCCATCCGCCCCACATTGCCTCTGCACGTCGCGTGATCTCCAAAGTTTTATTTTCTGAGCGAAAGGTGATCGTCGCAGCGTGGGTTAGACCATAAAAGACACATGTGTGGGAACCTGTAGGGGCTAACTACAAGTGACGAAGTATTCGGTGCCATAAGGGACAAAGTATTTGAATATGTTTTGACGTCCGAGTTGTCATTATGGAGGACCCTCCATATCCAACCCACAAGCATTTGTGCTTGAAGGTTGGGGGCATTTGTTTGGACCGCACGTCATCCGCCAACTGTTCACGAGGGAAGTTTCATCCCAGCCTCTTTCTCCCTCGCGCAATCTGATCAATGACATTGTCGTCCATACGGTTGTCGTTTCCGTCCCTGCCAATGACACACTCGCATTTCCACCGGGTAGAGCGCCAATTAATGGTCGTCGTGTCGTTTCGTGCCCGCATACAGCAAATCAACCTTCATTTCTCGCTGGTGTGAGCTCCTTCGGGAGTACATATAACCACATAGCTCCCATCACCATCGCCGCCACACTCACTCCCTAAGTCGGATGCCACCTCGCCCACTCTCTTCACCCTCCCCGTCACGGCCACAATCACCCCCATTGACCTTGTCGGTGCGGCTGTGCCTTCCCCATGGACCTTTCCACCACGAGACCGAAGAGGTATGCGTTGAGAAAAAGTTCTAGAAGAGGGTGTGGTGTTACTCTGAGTAAGTCAAGGAGGAAACACACCATAAAGTTGAATCAACTGTCGGTCGTGCCCGCTTCCCGTCGCCCTCAAGTACTTCGACCACATCTCAACAACCGCCTGCACATAAATGGAAGCCGCACTCACGCCAATCTTCAAAAATGTGACCGTACCCACATCTAGGACGCATGGATGTTCGTTGACCACGGGCGTCTGTTGGCTCCCCCCCTTGAGGGGCCAGGTCGGCCCGCTTGTGCTTTGAGCGGTGACCCTTAGGAGAATAAGTCAGGGTGTTCAGGGCCTTGTGGGCAGAGTATCTCTTTCGAGGAGAGGATGGAGGAGACCTTACCGTGGTAGACGGCTGGGCTCCGGGCAGATTAGGAACGGCGACCACTTTAGTGCCGTCGAGGCTCTCTTGATAGAAGAGCCCTGATGACCCACAAGTATAGGTGATCAATCGTAGTACTTTCGATAAGTAAGAGTGTCAAACCCAACGTGGTGCAGAAGGAAATGACAAGCGGTTTTCAGCAAGGTATGCTCCGCAAGCACTGAAATTATAAGTAACGAGTAGTTTGATAGCAAGATAATTTGTAACGAGCAAGTAATTGTAATAGTAACAAAAGTGCAGCAAGGTAGCCCAATCCTTTTGAGGCAAAGGACAGGCCAAAATGGTCTCTTATAATAAGCAAAGCGTTTTTGAGGGTACACAAGAATTTCATCTAGTCACTTTCATCATGTTGGTTTGATTTGTGTTCGCTTTTTTGATAATTTGATATGTGGGTGGACCGGTGCTTAGGTGTTGTTCTTACTTGAACAAACCTCCTACTTATGATTAACCCCCTCACAAGCATCCGCAACTACAAGAAAAGTATTAAGAATAAATCTAACCATAGCATCAAACTTTTGGATCCAAAACAACCCCTTACGGAATAGTGCATAAACTAGGGTTTAAGCTTATGTCACTCTCGCAACCCATCATCTAATAACTACTCCACAATGCATTCCTTTAGGCCCAAAATATGGTGAAGTGTCATGTAGTCGACGTCACATGACACCACTAAGGGAATCACAATATACATACCATCAAAATATCGAACACATATCAAGTTCACATGATTACTTGCAACAAGATTTATCCTGTAACCTCAAGAACAAAAGTAACTACTCACAAATGATAATCATGCTCAAGATCAGAGGGGTATTAAATAGCATAATGGATCTGGACATATAATCTTCCACCAAATAAACCATGTAGTAATCAACTACAGGATGTAATCAACACTACTAGTCACCCACAAGTACCAATCTATAGTTCCGGTACAAAGATTGAACACAAGAGATGAACTAGGGTTTGAGAGGAGATGATGCTGTTGAATATGTTGATGGAGATTGCCCTCCCCAAGATGGGAGAGTTGTTGGTGATGATGATTTGCCCCTCCGGAAGGAAAGTTCCCCCAGCGGAATCGCTCCACCAGAGGGCAAAAGTGCTCCTGCCAAGTTCCGCCTCGAGACGGCGGCGCTCCGTCCCGAAAGTCCTCTCCTTATTTTTTTTCTAGGTCAAAATGACTTATATACCAGAAGAGGGGCACCGGAAGTGGGCCGGGGAGGGCACTGTTGGGGAACGTAGCAATAATTCAAAATTTTCCTACTTGTCACCAAGATCAATCTAGGAGAGACTAGCAATGAGAGAGAGAGAGGGGAGTGTATCTTCATACCCTTGAAGATCGCGATGCGGAAGCGTTACAAGAACGCGGTTGGTGGAGTCGTACACGCAGTGATTCAAATAGCGGTCGATTTTGATCTAAGCACCGAATAACGGCGCCTCCGCGTTCAACACACGTACAACCTAGGGACGTCTCCTCCTTCTTGACCCAGCAAGGGGATAGGAGAAGTTGAGGGAAAGCTCCGGCAGCACAACGACGTGGTGGTGGAGCTTGCGGTTCTCCAGCAGGGCTTTGCCAAGCGCTACAGAGGAGGAGGAGGTGTAGGAGATGGGGAGGGGATGTGCCAGGGGAAGGGTGCGGCTTCCCTCCCACTCACCCACTATATATAGGGGCAAGGGAGAGGGGGGCCGCCCCCCTCAGATCCCATCTAGGGGAGAGGCGGCGGCCAGGGAGGAGAAACTTGCCCCCAAGCCAAGGGGGTGCCCCCTTTAGGGTTTCCCCTCAACCCTAGGCGCATGGGCCCTAGGGGGGAATGGCGCCCAGCCCACTTAGGGGCTGGTTCCCCTTCACATACAACCCATAGGGCCCTCCGGGTAGGGGTGGAAAGTGGTAGCGGATAATCCGAGATATCCGATATTCGTATTCGAGAAAATGCCTATTCGTATCCGAAACATCCGCATCCGAACCAAAATGGAAATGGAAATTGTCCGTATCCGAATTTATTAAACAAATACAAAATAAAATATGGTAGGAGATTTTGACACAAATATGGATATGGAAGTGGATATATCCGTATCCGAAGAAGATTATGGGAGGTATTTTTTTAAATTCTAGGCCCCATATTCCAATTATCCAACATAAAAGCCAAATAAGTGGTTAAATTTTACTCTTTATATGATTAAACTTATAAATTATTATGCATTACAATAGTATTTATTCATAAACCTATTTATCATTGACTTATTGTATGTTGCAAGTTGATTATTTTAGGTCACATAGCTATCGACTAATTTACTTAAGCAACATGTTGATATTATTCATATCCGTTCCGAATCAAGAAAATATCCTATCCGTATCCGTATTCGAATAATATCCGAGCCGCATCCGTATCCGAGAACATCCGTATTCGGATTCGTATTTGTTTTGAAAATATGAAAATGGAAGTGGTAAGAGCACTATCCGATCCGCATCTGATCCGTTTCCACCCCTACCTCCGGGGCAGGTGGACCCTCCCGATGGACCCCCGGAACCCTTTCGGTGGTCCCGGTACAATACCAGCAAACCCCCAAACACTTCCGGTGACCGTATGAGGACTTCCCATATATAAATCTTCACCTCCAGACCATTCCAGAACTCCTCGTGACATCCGGGATCTCATCCGGTACTCTGAACAACCTTTGGTAACCACATACTATTTTCCATAACAACTCTAGCATCACCGAACCTTAAGTGTGTAGACCCTACGGGTTCGGGAACCATGTAGACATGACCGAGACATCTCTCCGGCCAATAACCAACATCGGGATCTGGATACCCATGTTGGCTCCTACATGTTCCACGATGATCTCATCGGATGAACCACGATGTCAAGGATTCAATCAATCCCGTATGCAATTCCCTTTGCCTATCGGTATGTTACTTGCCCGAGATTCGATCGCCAGTATCCCCATACCTCGTTCAATCTCATTACCGGCAAGTCTCTTTACTCCTTCCGTAACACATGATCCCGTGACCAACTCCTTAGTCACATTTAGCTCATTATGATGATGCATTACCGAGTGGGCCCAGAGATACATCTCCGTCATGCGGAGTGACAAATCCCAGTCTCGATTCGTGCCAACCCAACATACACTTTCAGAGATACCTGTAGTGCACCTTTATAGCCACCCAGTTACGTTGTGACGTTTGGTACACCTAAAGCATTCCTACGGTATCTGGGAGTTGCACAATCTCATGGTCTAAGGAAATGATACTTGACA